ACATTATGGCTTATTGTCTAGCTTTCAGAGGACCCATTTCTGCTCCGAAGCTCTAGGCTGATGCTCTGTATGCTTTTTGTAGCCTCTCCTCTCCTTCCTCACGTTGGCCATGGCCCCGTTTGCCTCGGAGCAGTGTTACAGTGGGTTTCATGTTAGATTGGATATTGTTGTTGTCCCTAAGCTATCATAGTCAGCCTTGAGTCAGTGTGCTATCTTTGTCTAAATAGCATGCACAAACTAATGGAACAAGAAGAGAATCAACCCTGATCTGAATCGAAATACCTTTTAACATTCCAAGGAATGTGATTTTATTTTATTATTTTTTTTCTGGTCTGACTTAAAAAAAAAACAAAAAAAAAAAGTAAGTCCAGAGGTTTTCCAGGTGAATTTGCTTTCAGATTCATTTTCATTTGCCACCAACTCCCCTAAATAGTTTTGTTTTTATTTGTGAGTTGGTTGGCTGACCAAAAGAATTCCTAAATCTGCAGCCACCAAAAGATCTGCTCAGATGAATTTGTCTGCTATTGTGGTAGCATAATCTCACACTGAATATTTTTGAGAAGTCATACCTTTTATTTAATCCCTTTTAGGCAGTGAGAGAAAAAAGTCCCATGTTGATATATATATATATATATATATATATATATATATATATATATATATATATATATATATATATGTTTTAAAATGAGTGTAATGTTTACTTTACACTTATTCAAATATCTCTCTCACCAAAGGTTCAGTGTTCATTCCTGACCTATTGATAAAAAAGTATGTGGTTCAAAAAATTTGGAGCAAGTGTGCAGCTAATTGTGACTTAAATTATTGTATTTTTAATAATAATAATAAACACTTATTGCCTAATGTGGGAGTTTATACTCACTTAACAAATGTACATGAATAAAAGGTTGAATTTATTAAAAAAAAAAATTCTAAGCATAATATCATACTACTGAAATAAAAGACAGGTCCATTTTATTTTTATTTATTTATTTTTCCACATTTTTCCTTGGCTGCTAACATCTGTGGATGCCACTATATGCGTCTACCTATTTCAAATAAATAATGTCTTTCCCTGTATCTCTGATCCTTCAGGTTTGTATGGGAACTGTAAAAAACACTGCCTCTAACACACCCTGTCGCTGCTCCCTAAACACTTGTATCGACTGTGACTTTTGAGTATTACATAAGGAACATGGATTTCCAGCTGTCCACGGTAAAAGCCATGTAAATTCAAATGCTTAATTTTTATAGGCAGCCCGGCATTGACTGAAGTGCCTGCTTGTTATATATTTGGCAAGTCCTGCAAGTCTGAAGGGAAGCTGTCAATAACAATCCCAGCTATTGATATGGCAGTGGGCAGGAGATGTTACTTGGCCCTCAACTGCAGCCTCCCTCTGATCCCTCTACATCATAATTACATTAATATTGACAGACCCTTGACAATAGTCACATTACTATTGATAGGTGGTTGTCAATACCGTGTTTCCCCAAATAAAACATATTCATTCATAACTTGTAAACTGCTCGATAAAAAGCTTTGAAAAGACTATTGGACCCGGTCGGGTTTACTCTCCCGAGAGTGCTGCTGCTGTGACGGGGATTTCCACCACCTGGCAGTGTGTGTATTTGTCGATTTGCGTGTGTGTGTGTGTGTGTGTGTGTGTCAGCTATAGACTGATAGATTAACTTAGTGTTGCATTAGAGCCCCACATAGATCAAGGCTTTCCTTGGCATGCATTCATAGCCAGACACACATGCATATAATCTCTAAATTTTCCTCCATCAAAGGAAAACTTTCAGATTAAGCAGAACAAACAGAGCCTGTTTATTGGTTGGCATACACATTCAGACTACTTCTATTTTTATGCTGTATTTATATATATATATATATATATTATAATCCACACTCCTCTCCCATCACAAACGAGGTCCTGGTCGCTTAACATGGCAGCATTTCAAAGAAAGCTCAATAAATTTGTCATACCTGCTTAGTTCAGCGTAAATTCACTTTTTTTCATCGGTTTGCTAATTCTCACTTATTTGGATGGTGTATCCTGGCTCTATTTAAATGTCTTGAATGCACAGACAGTCCTGTATACCTCAGTATTGGCCCAGTATGTTAGGATGGGCTTTTTTTAACCTTCTTGAGAAGCATCTAAAGTGACCATCATCCCTCTCTCTTTCTGTCAAAACTGCCATATTTACCCGGTGGAAATCTCTTTTAAAGCCTCGTGACAAATCCTGTTCATCGAGACACAAAAGCTACTGTCAAGAAAAGGCCTCTCTCTGTCTCTTTTTCTCTCTCTCTCTCGCTCTCTCTCCTTCGGTGGCCTTTTTCGTCTGTCTCTCAATGTGTTAGTTAGTCTTCCACCTCTTAGGCGATTCAGTCGGGCAAAGGGCAGATAAAACCGGGGAACTGAGCAGTTTGCAAATGTATGCAGCACAAAGTAGCCCAGATGACACAATGGTGAGATCCCATATGGAGCTGAATCTTGGAAGGGGGGGATTGTTCCACATTTGGCAGATGTTTATGGTGTACCAGAGACTGTGCCGTTAGCCTAATCCCTGGTGATGTGATTTGTACACACACCCCTATCTCTGGAGGGAGCAGGCAACGATAGCCCCTTAGCTTTGCCTACTGTGTGGGTGTGTGTCTAGTGTGTAGAATGGTGTGTGTTTATACAGTGGAGAAAGCATTCTAAGACCCCCTGCTTCACCGTGTGCCGTAGCTCAAAGCTTGCATTAAGGACGGGTTTTACATGTGAAAAGTGATTTTCGTTTCTGTGTAAAGAAAAATAACCTTTCTAATAGGATGGGCTTCCCCTCCAGGGCCTCCCTGCTCCGTATAACAAAGTTGTCCTGTAATAGAAGTGATTCTTTATACTTTTTTTTTTTTTTTTTTCTCAGAGCAGATTTTAACCTAAATAGATTTTAAGATAAGAAAAATAATAGTGGTTGTATGACAGCAGTGTTCTTCATTATTGCTATTTTTTTCAGAACAAGGTCCATGGGTCTGAAAAATTATGGGGAAAAGATGAATGGTAAAAAGTGTAATCCAGAGTATACTGCCTGGAAATAAAGTCTGGAGAATAAATGTTGTAGATGGTATAGTTATCCATCCATACATGCATTCATCTATACAATCACATCTGTCTGTCCTGTCATTTGTTGTGAATTTATTATGAATCGTAGCGTGTCTACTTCCAAAATGGGCTAAAAAATGCCTGGAAACTCTGGAGTCTAAAAATATAAGGAATTTTTACATGAAAAATTTGTAGGAACCTTGGGAAAAATCCACTCTGTTTCTATTTCAACTTAAGCTGTTGCTTCAAAACATTTGATTGTTTGTATCTTGCTGTCCAGGTTCCCTTTGGAAAAATGTTAGTGTTCACAGGTTCTTCTATTCGAACTCCGCATTTTGAGAAGCTGTATTAATGACTTGGTTTCCAAATTAAACCAAAGTTAAATCGTTATGCAAATTCTACATCAAACACAAATCTCAAAGCCTTTTTTAATTTTTTTTTTGTTTTTTTTTTTTTTTTTTTTTTTTTTTCCAGCAGGTTTGAACAGGGACCACAACAAAAGGACAACTCAAACTAATGGGTCAGAATCTGCAGTTGACCCACCAGTTTTGCGCATCAGCCAGCTGGATGCCCTGGAGCTGGACTCGGCCCTTGAGCAACTGCTGTGGACCCAGTTCACTCAGTGTTTCCAGAACTGCCGCCCAGGGTTGCTCACCCCGATGGAGCCTGAACTGAAAGCATTACTTTATCTGTTGCTCTGGAGGTTTACTCTTTATTCTAGCAATGCCACAATAGGTCAATCTCTACTGAGCCTGCGCTATCAAAGCACATCTTCATCTTCTCCCCACTACAGACCGCTGTCCCGTCGTCAGAAGTTGGGTCTTGCCATACTTACTGCAGGCCCCCGTTGGCTGCAGGAGCGTTCCTACCGTCTCCTGCCATGTTTGGCTTTGAGTCCAAGAGGGGCTGTTTCGGAGTCGGATGGTGGCTTGCTGCAACAAAGTCTCCGTAAAGCCTTGACTCTTGTTTCTGGTCTGGCAAAGTTCGCTACCTTTGTCAACTTCCTAGTTTTCCTAAGGAATGGCCGTCACCCTGTCCTACCTGAAAGAATTGCGGGAGCTCAGGCTGTGTTCAGTAAACCTAATGTGGTTCGAGATGTAACTTACCAGCACATGAACCGGGAACTACTGTGGCACGGCTTTGCCGAGTTCCTCATCTTCTTGTTGCCGCTGGTAAATTTAAGGAAACTGAAAGCGGCGGTGTTATTGCATGTGCTTGGAAGAAAAGATTCTGAGGAAGAAGGCACAAGAGAGGGAAAAGACATGTGGAAAAACTGTGGACTATGTGGAGAATGGCCAACAATGCCTCATACAGTGGGGTGCCAGCACGTTTTCTGCTACTACTGCATTAAAAGCCACAGCATCGCCGACGCTTACCTCACATGTCCGAAATGTGGGGCAGAAGCAGGGACGCCCAATGTGGTGAAGATGGACATGCAGGTTGTGGGCAGGTGATGGTTCCAGCCTGCTGAGAGAAAACTGCTAGAAACTCGGTCTGAGTGAAAGGGATAGTTGAGGATTATTTAAGCGAAGATTTGGTAAACTGTAAGAAGCTAGTAGTATTTTACATTTAGCAAATAACTGTTTTTTTGTTGTTGTTTGTTTTAACATGAATCCTGATCAGTAAGCTGAAGCTAACAGATATGACCAAATCAGACTTCTATCAGCTTAAAGCGACTTGAGTCTCAGAAACATTTTAACTGTTTTTGCAAATATTTTCAAAACCCTTTAAACTTATGTTAGCATTGGACAGTCATATCTAGAGAAGCCAATGATTAAACTTGATTGACTTATTCATTGATTATTTACACAGAAAACGGACTTAGGAAGTTGTGTGCCACCAGTGATGTGAAGGTGGTATACAAAAGTAGAAACAGCTTTTTATTTTTATTTTTTTGTTTGTTTGTTTGTTTTGTTTTTCCCAGGTTGTTTCTTTTATATCCGTTACTCTGACTGGAAAAACTTTCCGTTTGGTTCTTAGTACGAGTTTTGGTAGTTCATCTCCTACCTCTATTTCCTATCTCCTTGATGGAGATGTTAATTTCTGAAGAAATTGTGTTTGTCTGTTCCCAGTATTTGCTTTTTTTTTTCTTTTTTTTTTTCCAAAATATTTAGTCATGTATGACTTTATGACGGGAGGACTTTTCCTTACTGTGTCTTTTCTAAGCACACAGTTGTCTGCTATGTTTAATGTATGTGTGCATATATTGACAGTCTTCTGTGCCCTCTGTTTCTCTGGCTGGACTTTGGATGGAATTATTTGTCTTTGGTGCACTGGACAGACTACAGAGCACCACACGGGGCATATATTTGATGAGTGAATGTGTTGATTTATGCTCCAAATTGGCTCTGTGATGGGGCGCGTGGATGTGTGTGTGTGTGTGTGTGTGTGTGTGTTTGTTGAAATGGGAATATTTGTTCTGATGAAAAATGCAGAAAGTCAGCTGAATAAATAATGGGAGGAATTTCTGATGCCTCTCATCATGGCCAAATTAGCATTTGTTGTGTATTTTGTGCCTAAATTGTATTTCAACATCATTAAAATTGATAGAGTGCTACCTCTTGGGTGTTTATTTAGTTAAGTGGAGGAGTGAGAGAGAGCGAGAGACGAGGGAAAGTTATAACAATCAGTACACTTCTCTCTAGACAGGCCTGGTCGTTCTAACTCCCATTATCCGTTTTCACAGCACCCCAACATGCTCAAGATCAAGGGGGCAGCCAGGGGCTTGGATTGACTCACACACACTTGACAGCCATCCTCTCTTTTCCCTTGGCCTTTCTCTCTTTTGCTGCCTTTCCGTCTCTCTCCCTCTGTAATCTCAAGGGCCCTCGCCCCTATAAGACTGTAGTAAACTGTACCAAAACCCTGGCAGTCGTCTCCTTCCTCGCAGGCGAATTACTCTCTAATCCCTGTAATGAGTCCAAAGATGCTTATTTATGCTGGAGTTAACCTCCACCAGTGAGCCCAGCCCCAGGCCAAACTCACCCCAGCTGAGTGAAGCCTTTCCTGGGCTGACAAAAGAGGAGTGGGATGGAGGGGGGGGTTGTGATGGTTGCTATCCACCTCCTCTTCCCACTCGTTCTTTTTCCCTTCTCTGATCACCAGTGCTTAATTGCTGATTGCCAAGACAATCAATTGTAACTGCAGGCGTAACAGAGAGCCTATTGCAGAGGGAAACGGCCTCAGTTCTACCGGCACAAACGCATGAATCTGCGCTCAGATGAGACTTTGGCTGGGCTTAAGAGAATAACGCATGCAATATCTCTACTTATGAGGTTCGCGGGGGCCCTGAAGAACATCGGGTTGTTGCATTGGTTTGATCTTGTGTTAAATTATTTATGTGATACTGACCAATGGCTTCTTTCTTTGTCCTAGAACTTCTCCAAGTCTCTGTGGCAGATGTCCTTTGTGGTAATGTAAGGTAATCCAACATGAATCAATTGTACGGTTTAAACCTCCTATAGAAGTATTGACGGAGTCTTGCGATGGATTAAAAGAAAACTTAAAACCTTGAGGTGGGTGTTACAATCCTAGATGATGATTGGGTTGACATCTTGTGGAAAACAGAGGACACATCCTGAGGATTCTTTGAGGTCCTCTTTTATATCAAGGACGTTCTGACTAATGAATGCAACACTAACGCATATAAAGCCCCAGATAGGAAAGACCGATGGTCAATATTTTATGCACTACATTACATTAATGTGAAGTAAGTCCCAGAAAGTGAGATTAGGTCGATGTTTGAGATTAAGGATGCATATATGATCAACCCTAATGCCACTGGGACATGTCATTGTCTTAACATTCAAAGAGACTTACAATCCAAACCTTTTTTGCTGATATTACTCTGTAACTCTAATTGAAGCCTCCAATCCTCAGGAAAGAAAAAGAGATAAAGAAGAAACATTGCATTAGAGTCTATTAATTGAGTTAGGACATGTATTAAATTAGTTGGAAGTTGGAGCAGGGCTCTGGACTTAAGGAAGGTAGCTGGGGCTCAGTTAAGCCTATCTGTCTTTGGATCTTTTCTAATTCTCAGGCTCCGTGTGGAGAAGAAAAAGAGGAGGAAACCCACATTCCCAGCGGCTATGCAAAGCAATCTGCACATTCACACGCAGCCATTTAGGGAGCAAATTGGCCCTGTGCCCCCTCTGACGACGGTTTTAAGAGAAAGGGAATTAGGGCGTTGAATCCCTAACTAGATCTCCTTCTTTGATGAGCCTCTTTATCCGCCTGTCCCTCATCTCCATTTCTTTGATGTGAAGCGTTGATTTTCCTGATTAAATAGTTTTTTTAAGTAAAAAGCTCTTCTCTTGGCTCTCTAATGCCGGGTACTTTACTGTACCTATTGTAGGTTCGTTTGTGTGCATGCTTGTTGGATGGTACGTCTGTGGTATTCTCTAATTGGAACAGAGCCCCTGGCTTGCAGATAATGGTAAGGATAGAACATGCATATTTTTCCTCTAAGAAAAAAAAAAAACTCATTAATGCTCATGCCTGGCTTTTACCTCTTCATTTGAAATGGCTAGAAGGACTCGGATAGCCCTGTGATTCACTAATGAAATTAAAGAGTGAAAACATCTGTGCCTTTTTCTGTTCAACTAAATTCCATCTCTGATCCTTCTCCTTACTCACTTTTCAACAGGTAAGGGAGTTACATCCCTCATGTATCGGCAAGATATTTCTAACAACTGACACCACTTTCAAAGACTGAATGACATTATTTCTCGTGCCAAGAAAAGATAAAACAAAAATGCTCTATTTATTTGTCGACATCTCTGAGGATTTTTGACACCTCTATACCTTTTTTTTTTTTTTTTTTTTGGTTTTGTTTTCTTGTGGCATGTCCAATACGTCAATAGGAGTTACAAGTAGCTCATATTTCATCTATTCAATAAAAGACATGCCAAACATAAAACACCAAAATTCCTTCAAGGTAGACAAATCCTAGGTGTGCAGAAGTTCAGGGTTGCAGCCGCTGCTGGTACCTGCATTATGAGACTTCTTTCAACACCTGCCGGGCTTTGGATACCATCGGGCCCAATTATCTAAGTCTGCCTCTTCTTTTTAACCACCTCTTCAGTCTAGCAGGTCAGGGGGACAATCAATCACACCTAAAATAAGGAAAGTAATTTCCTTTGCCTTTATCATGGTGTTTAGGTTTTGTCTGGTTGCATTTCACACAAAGCTGGAGCATCTATGGTTTGGGAATTCAGGGAATTTGGCCTTTTCCTTTTTGATCTCAGGTCCCAGGGTAATTTGGAATTTTTACATTATCATACGTCCAACCCAATATGTGTAAGCTGAATGGGCAAATAAAAAAAAAACCGCGTAGACGCTCTGTAGAGTGCTGTGTTTCATGATGTAGGTCGACAAAGGTTGTTATTCTTTAGAACTTTTAAAAGCCAGATCCGCGCCTGAGACACTGACGGCAAATCTGGGCGGTGTGTGTGTGTGTGTGTGTGTGTGTGTGTGTGTGTGTGTGTGTGTGTGTGCATTCAACAAAACAAAGGGCATAGGGTGGATATCCATTTATTTCTTCCGTGTAAAATCTATTTGATGCATTTTAGTTAGTTTTTTTTTTACTTCATTTCATGATTTAAACAAAAGTATTGCTGAACAATATTTGTTCCTATGAAACTAATATTTCATCAAAAATACAAAGCTGTGAAGTTACTCAGATTTCCTTTCAAATTTCAAACCAACACCTGGGAAAGATCTAAACATCACTGTTGTCACTTTTATTTTTAGTTAAATTAAAAAAAAAAAAATCAAAAATTTTAATTTATACACACCTTCTGCAAAACCAAATTTAAGCCGAATTTGTGAATGTGTTAAATATGGAATGTTTGCATTGTTAATTTGCTACAATAATAAATCATCCATCCGTCATTTTCCACTCCGACTCAACCACAGATAATTAATAATATAAGGTAATACTAATAATGACAGATGGAATGTATTTCATAGCGTCTTAAGAGTCTTATTGTTGGAATAGAAAGCGTGTTTCTGAGCAAGAAAGTCAATAGGAAATTGATTAAAATAATTATGATTTCAATGACATATTTAATCAAGATGATACTTTTTTTTCCAATTATCAAGCAAGATTATATATATTACAATTTTATGTTTCATACCTTACTTGGAAAGAGTTGCAAGATGTTTGTCTGTTACTGAACTCCTCCGACCCATCTGACTGGATGGGTAGGAGTGGCAAAGGGACGGGACAAACAAGATACCAAAGGGCATTATGGGGGGATTACGCACCGGTGTGCTGTGCGCACCAGCACGAGCGTCTGTGTGCGTGTGCGCATACGTACTGTCCTGCCCGTGCACGACTTTAGTCATCTCAGTCTTCTTCCTACTGATGTCTAGAGCAGACTAAATGAGCAATAATCTGCACACATCCCTCCAGATGGCCCAGTGAATTTCCTGTGGCTTAAGGCGCCAGCTGAGCCCTTTGAAAGTTTTGATAACTTCTGCAAATGTGATTGAACCTCTGCTTGTCCAGGAATGCGGTGGAGGACAGAATGTGCTTTTTTTTCTGTTCTTCCCCTAAAAGAAATGCAGTAGGAGGTATGCAATTGAGTTTTTTTGTTTGTTTGATTTTACTTCTCTTTTGAAAAAAATAGATATTGACCCTAAGGGCTTCATCACTTTGACTTTACATATAGGTTCATTTGTCTTGAGTTGCATGTCCTGCAGCTGTATAGAGACACCTGAATCACTTTCTAGGTTAGGATGTTTTTTTGTGTGTTTTTTTTGTAAACTGTGTTGTTCAGTTAAAGTACTGCATATAGGATTACATTTAAACTCATATACTACACAGTCATTTCCAAGGCTATTTATATGTAACAGCTCTGTCTTTACCCCTCCGTCCTGTTATGCACACTCGGATACCGGTTGGTTGGTTTTTAGATGATTTATTACAATCTGTAATCAGTGGTTGACAAAACACATATGGCGCAGTGAGCCTCTCTACTGGTCAACCTATGGCTCACAACAGAGCGTTGAACCAACTGTGTAATTTACAAACAATTATAGTGAATTCTGACATTATATTTTCTAGGCCATTTGATCGTATAGTTTTAGAATATAAATAAAAATATGAATAATAAATACAACAACAGTCATTAAAAGCTCTCTGGGGATTAGTGGAAAAGAACATGTCATGTTGCCATAGAACCCAACAAACAAACAGAATGGCAACCACAACTGACAAACTGATAAATATAACAAACCAACCGACAAACTGATACACATATCCGACAAAACAAACCACTGACATTCAATATAATATAATTATCTGTAATAAGTGGTTGACAAAACACATATGGCGCAGTGAGCCTCTCTACTGGTCAACCTATGGCTCTGTGCAATGCAACAAAGATTCCAGTCACCCTCCTGAACAAACCTCCAACACCATTTGGAAGAGAACCGGATTTGCTGACTTACCACAACAGAGCGCTGAACCAACTGTGTGGAATTTTTGGTTTCTCATCCAATTTATAGGTAACCAGTAGGGGGCGCCAAAAACCACCAATTACAGGATAACTGTGAAACATATTTTAGCAGGAATTTCATCTGTATATCTAATACCCGTTACATATAGTTAACATAAGCATCAGAATCATTGTGCAATCAACCAACAGTCATCAGCAACTACAAAGGAAGAAACTAGAAGAGCGCAGACTTGTGTTTTCTGTCCTCCATCAATCAATGCTCCAACCAGACTTAATACACAGGAGAAACCAAATACAAGCAGGAACATGTGTAAATTGCCATGAATATTTGATAATGTCCTGCCGATCTGACTTCGGTTTATTGACGAACTGCGGTATTGTTAAATCCCAGGGAATCCAAGTGAAAATTGCAACGTTTTCTTTTGTAGGTGCCTCGCAAAAGTGTTCATACTTTGGGAACTTCTCTGCGTCACAACAGAAATGAGCTTAACGTGTTTTAATTGAATTTTTTGTAGACCAACAAAAAGCTACGGAAAACAATACATGCTTTGCTTTCCATAAATATTGCTTTGTTTATGCTTGCTTACAAATGAGCTTTTTTTTTTTTTTTAGGGATAATAGGAGTAACTGTAAATGCATGCCACCCTTTTGAGATTTATACGCTAAAAGATTTTAAAACTGTTGCATCTTCCTTCCGTTGAAGAAATGCATGCTTCTTTCTTGTTGTTTTATTACCTACATCACAACAGAGTACATCAAAGTGTGAGGTTGCATTGGGAGAAATTGTTCAAATGTTTAAGTGGTACGTATACTTTTGAAAGACAGTGTGTGCAGCAAGAAATGACCAAATTTTAAATTACAACTGTAGGCAACAATAAAGAACATCAACAGCAGGCACAGAAAGCATAACCCTGTTAAGTCTGAAGCCGCCAGGTAATGACAATGCTTTTTAGTGTTGGAATTTCCAACTTGCCGTGGTTCAGAAAGAAATATATTTTAGTAGTTGCCATGGATACCTGTGTGCAACGGTTTAGCCGGGAGTCTTGATTCCTCCTGGAGATGAGTGAGCCGCACGTGTCAACCAGCATTAACCTGCTCCGTCCAAACGATGCGCAGAGACACAAATACAAAAACACACGAGAAATAATAAACACGGCAATATGCACATTGGCTCTGTGAGTAATGTAGCGAGGTCTCTAAGTGGAGTTCAAACTGAAGCGCATCTTCCTAAACGTGGAAATAAAAGCAGAGAGGAATAATGTCTAAGATGCAAGACAGGGTACATGTCAGCTAAATTTAGTACTTGTGTATTTTTTTTTTTTAAACCTCCGAAACAGAACCTGTGCATGACCTCTGATAGCACTGTCAAATTGTAAACAGTGTATAGTACACAGCTTTTGCCTCTCTATGTTAAATACATTTTATTTCTGAAGCACATCTAAAATCAAAGTAGAGTGAAAAGAATCTTTAAAAACACTGTAAAGATGAATGAGATAAAATGAGTAAAACCAGGTTTAGAAATAGTAAATAAAGTTACAAATCATGCTACAAGTTTTACATTAAAATTTTCCAAAGCGTTAGGTGGATTCATATGTGCTTAAGCTGTTTGTAAAGGGATGAATGGAAGACCCACATTTAACAGAGAGGAGGAGGCTGTCGCAGAACTTTGGGACTTATTCAGTCAAAGAATAATATCTGGAACCGACTAATCTAGAATGTTAGAATGTCCAAGTTCTATGATCTAAAGAAAGGATAGTTAGGAAATATTTTTGGGTTTCCAAACCTCATAAAACTTAAAAAAATTTTTTATCAAGTCTATACTTAATATAAGTGATAAAAACACAGTGCCGATTTTGTCTCTTATTCTGGTTTCAGTCAGAAGTAAAGCAGCAGAAGATAACAGAGACTGACTCAGGCCAAAACAGAGAGGAATCCAGTAGTCCGACCTGGGTTCAATTAAAGCAGTGATCGCTGTCTTCATGGCGTGGTTATTGAGAATGTATTTGAGTTTTGAGATTTAAGACATGATTCTTTATCACAGCGCCAATCTCTTTATAAAAGTTCAAATGGCCGTTAAATATAACAACTAAAATCTTGACCTGGGAAGAAGATAAAATGTCAAGGGCATAAAGTGGGATCCAAGATAAGATGGATAGGACCTACGGCGACTTTCTGTCATTAAAATGTGAAATGCTATTAGCCATCCAGCACTGCACCTCTTCTAGATCAAGGGCCATGGCCACTCCTGGAAAAATGTGGCCACCTTTTCTTTCTTTTTCTTTTTTTTTTTTTTTTTTGTGCCACCCTAAGATTTTTACTGGTCTGGTCCATCCATCTCTATGAAAAAGCAAATCTTTCCGTTGAGAAGCATTTATTTATTTCAGGGATCCAAAACGGATCCCTGAATTACACCACAATCTACTCGTGTGTGTATGTAGATATTTCCTACATTGTCAGATGGTATCTAATTTCATTTCATTTAAAAAAAACAAACCAAAAAAAAAAAAAAACAATGTTTTCCAACAAAAGGATTTTTGTGGCCTTGAATTATGTGCACTTCTCTTCTCTGGACAGTAATGCTAGACTGTTTAACAATCCAACTAATTTATAATATTAAAAAAAGAGGGGCATAAATTGTTATCCCAGATTATCTGATATCCTGAGTAAAAATCAAATCTTTTGCATTTTTTGCCTCTTTTTTTTTCTTCTTTTTCCTCTGCCAGAGTTTTCTCTGTAGGGCCCCTCACTGACACTCTGGGCTCGTTGTCAAGTATTATGTTCTCAAGTGTTTGTGCTCAGCTTCTGAGCCAAGCTGCTGGAGTCCTTTTTTGCCCCATCCGCAAAGGTCTGCCCAAAATTCAGCGGTCATATCTCTCCTTGTCTATCTCGGAGCTTGGCATGTTTTCCCTTAAAGTCAAATTAAAAAGGTATGCCAGAAAGGAGAGCGTATCTGCAATTCAGAACACATTTTTCTATCAGACAGGAGATATATTGCCGACTAAGTATTGTCAGATGTTGGCAAATTCCACATATTTTTCATATCCGGCCCCCTGAAACCTGGGGCCGCTTCAAGACTCAAGGCACATCATCGAGAGGGACTCTGTTTGACCTTCGGAGCACAGGCAGAAATGAACCAAATATTCATTCTGTTTTGTGCAAAAATATTTTCTCTGATCTAAATGCAATATCACCGGCCATAAATCATTTAGGGATTCATTTGGAAATCATTTGAAAAACACATTTATTTGCTGGGGTGTTCATCAATAAATGTAGCTCCTGTGCAAAGTTTTATTTATATATTCATACATTCAGTTGATTCAGTTATTCATGTATTCACTCATTCACAAGGCCCAGTCAGTGGCTATGCGTCTATCCCTGTGTGTGTTTGCATGCATGTGTGTGTGACCTGCGGCGTAGCCGTGCTATTCTGCGGGCTAGTGCCATTCCCCAGGGGGCTCTCATCTTTTACTGAGCCCTGACAGAGGATGGAGGCTGGGAGAGGGGTCCGCTGCATTAAAAAGCCTTTACCTAGCTCTGATTTATCACCCCTGCCTCGCACGCACACACACACATACACACACCCGCACACAAACCTGCTTACCACACCATCTCACCATTCCATGCCGTGGCTCAACTCTACACTCTATCAAAAGCAGGGACATAGAGATGCACATGCACACGCGTTTTCACACGCACATAGACACACACACACACACACATTCACACACCATCAAGCACATACTCATTCCATCATAAGATGGCTGCCTTGGAGAAAAAGTGAGGGTGCAAGGCGCCGCAGTGCACAGCAGTGGTGATTTTGCATTTTAATGGAGCCCCTCCTCTCCCACTCGCCGCTCAGTTGGTAATTCTGGTGAGTCGCAGGCTGCAGGCACCAAGCCATCAGCTACCTCACCACAGGAAGACAGAGTGACACAATTACAGGGCAGCGTTTCCTGGGTACATCACCTGCAAACGGCTGTATGTGAATGTGACTTCCACAGATGAGGCAAGGACGGGGGAGCAGGGGAGAGATGGGTGTTTGTTTGTGTTTGCACTGCTGGGGGAAGTAGATCGTCATTATTCCACAAAAAAAAAAAAAAAAGCAGGAGAGAGAGCCCTACAGGACATCCGGTAGCAACACACAAGCCCTTGTAAATGCAGATGAAGACACCCACAGACGCACAAGAAAATTCTTAGTCAAAACTACAATCACACGTCTACGACTGGCAAACACGGAGACTGAGATGCAGGCGTGCAGCTCACAAGAGACACAAAGGGAGCACAAGATTTTGTCCTTGAGAGGGTCCAAGACAGGCAAATCATATTTATTCATTCATTCATTCATTCATACATACATATACGACCACTGCATTTCTTCGCTTCAGTTATAGCATGACAGTTGATTTAAACTTGGGCCAAGAAGGAGAAAAGACACGAGGAATTAATGCGACAACAGCATCTTCACTATTACTCATTTTGGTATTTTTTATTTTTTTTTTTACTTCTTTTTTACCCTTTCACTCGGTTTTCAGACACAACACACTCACTGAAATCACTGGGTTGCAGCGCAACACCACCAGCAACGACAACAGGAGATTTTATAGTCACATTTGATTTAAAGAAATGGAATATTTGCCATTTCTAGCAAACAAAAAGATATATTACTTTCAAAGCATCATTAAATAAAATAGGAGCAAACATGCATGATGTGTATTTTTAATCAGATGATTTAATGTCAGTCTGGTGGACTTTGAGTTCAGTTAAGTACTTGTGCTGTATTTCAGGTTGTTTTTGTGAATTTTCCTATGCTTGTAATTTTAGGTTATCCTAGTGTTTGGTTTTGTCTGTCTCCTGGTTTACTCAATGTTTCCCCTCTGTGCCTTAGTTTCATTTTGTTCCACAGTTGTTCCTCGTCTGTTCATTTACTCATCCACTGCACAGGTGTGTGAAAGAATGAGGCAGCAGAACTCTGTGGATCGGTTTCTCTGTTGTCCGATCCCTTGTGGTGGACGCACACAGTCCGTTCCATCTTCTGAGTTCTTCATTCGCCACAGTCTTGCAATCCTTGCCTCTGCATTTTGGTCTCCACCAAAACCAAAGCATGACATTTAACAGTTGTTGTGAAACCTGCTTTTCCTGACTCACTCTCTCTCTCTCTCTCTCTCTCTCTCTCTCACTCTCTCTCTCTCTCTCTCTGTCTATATATATATATATATATATATATANCTCTCTCTCTATATATATATATATATATATATATATATATATATATATATATATATATATATATATATATATATATATATATATATATATGACTTTTTTTATAAATGTAGTTGAAGTCAAAATAATTCACACCTGTGAGCAGATTTAGGTTTAAATAGCCTATGAACAATAACAACTGGAATATTTATTAATTGTACTCTTCATCCTAATATTTGATTTTATTAATTCTAGATGATGATGATGATGATTTTGGTGATGACATTTGAGAAAATCTAAAATTTGTTGCTTGTTTGATATTTTACATTCTCAAAGTAATTGCTTATTACCTTTTTTTTTTTTTTTTTTTTTTTTCCGGAACACCTTTTGAAAGG